GGAGCTCAGAGGTGGAGCACAGACACTGCCGCCCTCCCATGCTGGGAATGGTGCCTTGAGGTTAGGGCAGCTCGTCAGCTATGCGAGAGCTGTCTAATGGCAGGTCTGGGACGGCAAGCAAGGCTTCATTCTTGTTGAGACGCAATTTCCCTGTTATCTGATCTGACAGTCCCAGGTGAGATCATCACTCAGACAAAAAGGTCTTTTAGCCCTTGGATCTGGGACGCTTAGCACAGCACTAGACTCTGGAAAGAGCGAGTCACCGGGCCCCTGCAGTAACCAAGTCTGGCTCTGTCATGGGGCCGGCAGGCTGCCAGACAGGAATCCACAATTGATTTCAAGATCTAAGGGCAGACTGGATCTTGGAATCAGTCGAGCAGCCTGGCCATCCTTGTCTGCCTCCCAGTGCTCTCCTCCATTTGCTCCTCCCGAGCACCAAAGTAGCATCATGCAGTTTCCTACAATGCCGTCATCTCTGAGTACTTGGCCTTGCCTGTGTCCTCCAGAGTGCACAGCTGCATCCAGGCTGCTGCGGGAGACGTGGAAAAGTGCTGCTAAGGCCTGTGTTTAAAGTCACAAATGCTGCTTAATCTTGGTATGTGTAAAGGGCTCTTTGTAGAGAGCAAAGCAGGCATTCAGAGCAGCACTCCCTGAAGCCTCCAGCACTGGAGGAACCTTTGGTAGTCTCAGGAGGCACTAACGGTTTGTGTCACCCTCTTCTTTCAGTGCTGTTCCCCCGTCACACCAATGCTGCTGCCAGAGACAACACCATAAACCTGATCCACACATTCCGGGACTACCTGCACTATCACATCAAGTGCTCAAAGGTACTGAGCGGACAGGGCTGGGGGATACCAGGGTCACTTCGGCCCATCTGACCTGGGTGCTGCAGGGGAGGAGCACAGGGCAGTGGTGCCCTCCTGAAAACTCACTAGAGTCTGGCATTGCCCTCCCCAGTCATGCTGGTATGGCAAGTGATGTATCATCACCTTCTCCAAGCTCTTTGCTGCAGGCAGCACCTGTTTGCTTCCCATCCTAGCAGCAGGGTAGATGCTTTCCCAATAATGAGCAGAAAGATAGCTCCTACTCCATGTCCTGAAATCTCAGCTGTGAAGACATGATCCTGACGTGTCCCCATTTTGAAATGCAGGCCTATATTCACACGCGTATGAGGGCGAAAACGTCGGATTTCCTCAAGGTGCTGAACCGTGCCCGTCCAGATGCAGAGAAGAAAGAAATGAAAACAATCACGTGAGTACTAAAGCAGGGCCTGACTCTCTGGGCTTCTTCGCCAGCCATGAGCTCACTCCTCCTCAGCTTGGCATACCCTGGTCTGGGGAGGACTGGGATGCTGTGTGGGTGGCTGGCCCAGGGCCTGACGTGTTGTGGGACCCCATCTGAGTGAGGAAGGGGGTGTTTCATAGCGAGGTGCTTGCCTGGGTGCCTTGAGGCAAGAGAATGGATCAGGGTGCGTTGGCCTCCCAGGACCCCTGTGCTCCCTCCACCATGCTCGCTCACTGCATCATGTGTCCTGTGTAGGAGCCGGGTGTGTGGCAAACCCTGTGCAGGCAAGGCCTTTGCAAAAGAAGGCTCATACGCATCTCTGTGAGCCCTGGTGTCTGCGCTGTCCCCTGAGCACGTGGTGGCATTCGCAGGGCTTTTCCCCTGTTGTGTTAAAGCTCGCCGATCAGCTCTGGGGGCAGCTCCGGCTCAGGGGGAGAGTGGCCAGGTCCTTCCTGGGGGTTTGCAGGTGCTGGAGCAGGTTCTCCCGCTGCCCAAGTGTGTCTGCAGCTCCTTGGAGCCCCTGGCTGCCCCTGGCCAGTAGCGGGCTGGGGCCGGGAGCGCTGACTGGCCGCTGTACTGGCTGGCTGGCTCCCTCTTGTGAGCACAGTGGCCCAGGGTGAAGGGGGTGGAGAACAGTTGCATGAACGTGTTTCCCCTCAGGTCCTTTACCCTCTGCTGATCCCAGAGCCCCTTGGTGTCCTTTCTGTGTGTGCTGCCACGTCCCCTCTGCGAAAGCAACACCCTCCCCGCAGCCCCCTGACCTGGTTCTGCAGCCACAGACGCCTGCGAGCTGTGAACCAGCAGTGCCTGCCCGGCTTTGAGAGCACGGTGCAAGCATCTGCCCCACCAGAAGTCCCGCAGCCGCCCCAGGGCACCCCAGAACAGCACCAGGGGCTGTGCTGACCTCTCTCTGCATCCTTTCAGGGGGAAGACGTTCACAACCCGTTAACACCAGGGTCAGTGAGGCTGCCGTGGAGGATGAAGGTTGGGGCACTTGCTACCCGATAATCGTAGCTTTTAATGTTGCACCTCTGTGGGCTCATAAGGAATTCAAGCAATCGGGGTCTGTTTGTACGACAGTTTGGGGAGTAATCTGCAGAAACGAGCTGTGCTTGCGAGGACTCGATCGTTCCAAGAAACAAAACCTTAATTCCAGTTTGATTGACTTCATTTCTTTTCTTTTTTAATTTTTTTTTTTTCTTTTCAAGCTGTTTCGCTTTGCAATATGTTACCGGAAATAAGTTGCAGTATTTCTTATGAGAATAATGCAATATTAACTTGTTTTCTTCTGAATATTTGAGTTCAAAACTCCTGTATCTGAAGAAATACTGTTGGGGTTCATTAATAAAGGAGATCTTTCTATCTTAAGGGACTGTGGGGGCTTTGGCGTGTCATTGTGTGTGGCCTTGCCCTGGAAGGGGTGTTTGGAGTCACATGTGCAAGGGGGATAACTGCTGGATCTCGGAGCAAATTACTTCTGGTGATCTCCATCTCTTGGGACTAAAGTGGGCTGCACAGAGCACACTTCTCCCCCCCTCAGGTAGCAATCTGCACCCCTCCCTCCAACCCTGACCCCCTCATTCCCCTTAACAGGGAGAGCTAGGGTGGGGGGCTCTGCCTCCACCCAGACCAGCCTAAAACTGCCTGCCCAATGATCCTTAGGCCATGGTCAGATGCTGGGGAGATCCCTGAGGAGGGAGGGAGCACAGCTCCCAAGGTCATCTTCCCAACAAGCAGAGTGGATGGCATCCAGTTAAGTGAAATAATTTATATAATTAAAAGACATTTTCATACAAAACCCCAGGCTCAGCCCCCAGATTGTGAGGGCAAAGCGGGGCAGGCTGGAAAATTACAAAGCACGCACTGGAGAAGGGTGGTGACACCCATCTCCCTCATCCCTCTGTACACGAGCCATCTGGCAGAGCCAGGACACCATCCATCTGCACAGTTCTAGCGATCAGGGCGCTGGACGCAGAACACTTTGGCTTGGTGGTCGCCAGAGGTTGTCACCACAATGGAGGCGTCCCTGGGGGGAGACAGACCTCAGAGATGGAGCTGGGGGCTGTGGACATCCCTCAGCCATCCCCCTGGCCCAGGTCTGATCTGCCCCGTTCCCCCTTGAGACTGTTAAGTCTCAGCATGGACCTGGGTGTGCCCACCACCCCCCCACACCCCCCCATCGGGACCAGACTGCAGGAGCACCCAAAGGGGAGAGAGCTTGTGATTTGGGTTCCTGAGGCTGCAGGCCCCTGCCACCCCTGGTCCCTCCATCCAGCAGGGAAGGGTTCTAGGGGTTCCCGGCTCACTTGTTGACAGCAAAGTCGAGGATTTCGGCTGAGTGCCCTCGGTACTCGCTGATCATCTTCCCCGAGCGGGCGTCCCAGAGCCGCACGGCCCCATCCAGGCTGCAGGTGTACACCACGGCCGAGCTCTCCTCCCACAGCAACTGCACGATCCCTGACTGGGGCAGGGGAGAGGCCACAGGGTAAGCTCTGGGGACCCCCAGCAAGGCTCAGCTTCCCCCATGTGCTCCCCCCAGTGTTGTCTGCCATCCTCACAGACAGGAGAGGCAGCGCCAGAGTCAAACTATGGAGCACATCCTCTGTGCAGGGACTGCGGTCGCCTTTGGGGAAGGGCTGAGGGAGAAGCACAAATTGGGAACTAGCCCAGGAAAGCCCCTGGGCTCCAAGGGAGGTCTCGGATAGGCCCAAAGATGCCCCCTGCCCAGGTGTAGGGAGAGGGGGTAGGGCAGTACCTCATGTTGGCACTTATGCCTCAGGCTCTGTGTGGAAAGGTCATAGATAGCCAGTGTGCCATCCAGGTAGCCCACAGCAGCCAACGGCATCCTGCAGAGAGGGGAACAGGCGTTACATGGGCCTGGGGGAAGCAGGGATGGCAGCGTATGAGGGATCAGGGATGAAGGCAAACGCTATGCTGAGGGCTGCAGCATATCAAGACGATGAAGGACAACCTAATGGCCAGAGCCATGAAACACCCCAACTGGGAAACCCAACAGGACAGTGAGAGCCAGCAACTAGCCCAAGGTTCATGAGGGAGAAGACAATGTCCTGGTACAAAAGACTCGCAGGAGCTGTATCTGGAGGGTACCCTGGCCAAAGAGTGGTCCATCAGGCTAGCCCTGAAACCCAATGGGCTGGGGGGAGGACTGAGCAGCTGGTGTCCCTTGTCCTCCATGTCACACTCAAGTGACCTGGGATCTCCACAGCCAGCTGGGGAGGATGGAGGTGAGAGAAACACAGCAGAACAATGTGTGAGGGATGGAAATGGATCCGTTTGTAACATCCCCTGTAAGATCTAACAACGAAGAGGGATTGTCGCCACACTCACACATTACAGAAGCCCAGCGACTCCACCGAGTTGGACTCTGCCTCCTCGCCCTCGCCGGCAGGTGCCTTGGGGGCCGCGCTCTCCATCTTGAACACGCACACCACCTGGGTGGAGGGAGACTCACTAGCCCCCAAGGGGAGGGGAAGGGGACCCCCAGTCGCACCGAGGTCCCCCTCCTTGCTCGGGATCAAGCCTACATGCCCTGGACACCAAGGCCCGACCCCAAAACCTCAGCTCCTCGGAGCAAACAGGAGGGAACTTCCTTCTACAAGCCCTGCGGGACCACACAGCTACAGGTCCCACCAGTGGCTGGGAGGAAGCACTTGTGTTGGCCAAGGGCGCCTCCTGCTGGCTGCCGGTGGCACGACAGGCTGCTCGGGGCCTGTAGAGCCCAGAACCACCCGGAGACACCGGCCTGGCCCTGGACAGGGGCTTGAGAGCCCGGTGCCCCAGGGCTCCTGGCTCTGCCCCTGCCCACACAGAACTCACCTTGCCCGTGGTGGAGTTGATCAGCTTGGTGTGACAGTCCACAGAGCCTGTCATGATCAAACTGCCATCCTGATTGGTGGCCACACACGTCAAAGGGTCCTGGTGGCCATCCTGGCCTGGGGAGACAAGCAGGAGGCATGAGCTCCACGTGTCCTCCCCGCAGAGACCCAGTGGACATTGATACCCACCCTCCTGCAGCTTCCCCCTTGCCTGGCTCTGCCGGCACCCCAGTGGCAACGAGCAGCCACCTGTGGGGACAGGGAAACCCAGTGCCAGGCTCCCTCCTGCAGCCCCTGGCCTCGGAGGGTGCCACCTCTCCACCCCGGCAGAGGTCAGAGCCCAGTGGAAGGGGCCATTCCCCAATTAGGGAGCACCCCAGGTGATTAACCTCTTCCCTACCTTTCAGGACATGCAGTGAGGTTCCCTGCTTCAGATCCCAGATGCGCATGGTCCCATCCTCATACCCCACCACTGCTCGCTTCCCTGGGTGAGACAGAGGCAGCAGGTAGAGCCAGAGCTTCCCTCATTGCCTCCTGCTCAGCACAGACTGGCAGAAGCAGGACAGATGGTGGTAGCAGGATCTGTCACAGAGCTGGTGACGTTCCCCACCCCAGACAGCCCTTGTGCCTCACCGTCAGGCAGGATCCTGCCACACGTGGCTGGGCATGCAGGGCCCTGGAAGGTTTTGCAGTCTCCGCTGGGGATCTTCCACATCCAGGAGTTGCCATCAGCTGTGCCCGCCAGAAGGACATGGGCTTGAGGGTGCCACTCCATCCACTGGCCAGAGGGAGGGACAGGCAGCGTCACGGAGGTGGCATCCCCACCACCACCCAGCTCAGTCCCAGCTGCCGACCCAGGAGCTCCCCATGGCACCGGGGGTACCAACCGCTCACCTCCAAGTCCCCCACCTCGAAGGACCACACTTCTTCCTTGGTGTCAACCCGCCACACTTTGATAAGCCCAGACATGTCACCCGTGGCCACAAACACAGAGTCGTGACTGAAGCCAGCGCAGGTGACAGAGTCCTTGTGTCCTAGAGACGACGGCGGACAGAGACTGCTCAGGCCAAGCTATGGAGGACGGTCAGGAGCCTGGCTCCAGCAGAGCATCAGCTGGGGAAGAGAATGGCTGGGAGGGGACAGGGCCACCCAGACAGCCTTGAGCACCTCACCTGAGCATTCAAACAGGAGCTCTCCATCGCTCACGCGCCATACAAAGGCCTTGTCATCCTCCCCGCCTGTCACTGCCAGCGTGTTGGTCTTGGGGTCGAGGCTCACACAGAAAACAGAAGCTTCACAGAAAAGTAAAGAGATGCTACATGGCTGGGATGGCACTCACATCCCACCTCATGTTCCCAGGGGATTCAAATCCCATGCAGTGCCAGGTCTGGGTGGGATGTCAGTGAGCTGAACTCCCAACTCAAACCAGTGGGAATCAATTCTTCCCATGGGGGAAGAGCAGCACAGGCTGTCTGCTGAGCTCAGGGTGAGCCGCCAGGGTAGGAGGCTCGAAGGG